ACTGAGTCAAACGCCTTCTCGGCATCTAAGCTTAACACTAAGGTCTCTAATTTTTGTTTGTCAACTTGCCGCAATATGTGCAAAACCTTTCTGATGTTGTCCTGGGCCTGTCTATGTTTAATAAAACTCCCGGACGGACAGGAGATGGACTATGAGGCCTGGAGTGAAGAGGGGAAACCACTGTGCCCGCAACCCAAGATGAAGTGTGGAGCCCTACAGGTGAGAGGAGGGAGTCTGAGTGTCTGGGAGGCACATGATTGCGCGGAGAGACACAATTTTATTTGCTACTAAAGTAGTGTGTTTATTGTGCTTACCGGAGTTTGGTTGTTTCCTACTTATTTTGTGTCTCGTAAAAACGTAAAATTAATCCCTAAATGATAAGAAACTACAATATTGATAAAACTGATTAAGATGCAAAATAAAAACACACCTTACTAATTATACTCATCTCTTTTCAGCAACACTAACAAAGTTCATTTCGACTCAGTTGTTGTTTTTTGTTTTGTTTTGACATGATGATATTTGTGTGCACATGTATCTGTTTAAATGTTGGCTAGACAGAAGAAGTGTAGGACGTTCAGTTAGGTCCATAAGTATTTGGGCCACTTTAGTTTGCTTGAATTTTACTCTCTGGTGTGTATTTGTATTTTTATTTCTCTCTTATGTGGCTGGTGAAACAATGTAAACAACAACAACAACAATAATAATAAAAGTGTTAAAAATGAGTTTGAATAAAATTCTTTTTTCTCTTTTGCATCAGAAATTAAATAGAAAAAAGTATTTAAGTAATGAGTCTTCAAGGACACAGGGAAGCCTTGGTTTGAGAAGGGTTGTCATGGTCCTGGGTCGGTGACCCAGCGCTTTTAGTTTGTTATCATTTTCTAGATGATGATTGTTTAAGTTCTGTGTTATTTTCGATCTGCCTCTGAGTCTGCGTCTGTATCTGTCTGTCTATGGTGTCTCCCCATCTGTTTGTGAATCTGTCTGTTTAGTTCAATGTCTTGTCTGGTTCCATGTGTCTGAGTTTCCTGTTTTATTGTGAAGGTCCGTGTCGTATGTGAGTGTGCTCAGTTTACGTTTCCCCTGTCCCGTCAGCCCAGATTCCTCCCAGCTGTGTTGCCCTCCTGTCTCTCATCCCCTGATTACTGGTGTGTGTATTTAAGCCCTGTGTGTTCTCCTGCCTGTTGCCGGTTCGTCTGTGTACTCCGTGTCAGTCTGTGTAACTCCGTGTCAGTCTGTGTAACTCCGTGTCAGTCTGTGTAACTCCGTGTCAGTCTGTGTAACTCCGTGTCAGTCTGTGTCAACTCCGTGTCAGTCTGTGTAACTCCGTGTCAGTCTGTGTAACTCCGTGTCAGTCTGTTACCCTGTGTTCCACGGTGTCCTGTTCCTCGTCTGCGTCTCTCTGCTATTCATCATCCGTTGTCATATGCTCCCAGGTCTGTTATTTTTAGTTCTCCCAGTTTAGGTGTCTTTAGTTGTTTGTTATGCCCCACTGTTTGTTTGCCACTACACCTCTGTAAATAAAACCACCGGTATCTCATCCACTGCCTGCATCTTGGGTCCTCCTTCTAAATCCACACGGCTCGCCTCGGCAGCCGTGACAGTACGAACCGGCCACTATGGACCCAGCAGCATTCAACCCGCCCAAGGAGCTCCGGGAGGACATTGTTTACTCCGTGGACAAATTAATCAACGCGTGGCTGGAGCACGAGGGGAGAGAATTTCGCCAAGCCGTGGCTAATCGGCTACAGCGCTTGGTTTCTGGTCTCCCCTGGCTGCTCAGCTCACTTCACCCGCTCGCACAGAATTTCATTCTGAATGGACTCCGTCTTCACCCCCCGGCTGCTACCACCCACCCTGCAGCTCATGCTTCACTGCCCAGTCCGACAGAGGATGTTCTGCCCGGCCCGTCAACCCAGCCTTCGAGGGGGAAACGGCGCTCACGCTGCCGACGCTCCTCGCCACAGTCGGACCTGGGGATTTCCGAGCAGCCAGCTGTGGTGAGTGGACAGGACAGTATTGTTGGTCTGAACTGTGGGACCGTTTACTCAGGGGTGATGTTCTGTACGGCACAGGACAAAAACTGTTTATCGCCAGAAGCTCAGTTAGCCGCCCGGCCAGAAGCTCAGTTAGCCGCCCGGCCAGAAGCCCAGTCGCCACCTCCGCCACATTCAGCCTCACAATCCATAGCTCAATTACAGTCACAGCCAGACTTATTACAAACCCTGTTACAATCCATGGCCCAGTCAGTAGCCCGGTTAGCAGAAGAATCATTAGCTTTATCCTCAGTTCAGCAGTCACCAGCCCTGCATCCTGTGTCAGTTGCTCCACTACCTGTTCAGCCATCACCTTCACCTACTCCTCCTGTACAGCAAGCCATGTCAGTCCAACCCATAACGGACAGTTCAACAACTCCGTACTCTAAGCAGAGAGACAAACCCAAGAACAATGTCAACATTCCTCAAAGGCTGGCCAGTTCTGAGACTGAGATGCACTCCAGGGCCTCCCCAGAGGCTGGGTTTCAGCCCCCATTAGACTCTGGACCCCTGGAGTTTAAGAAGCCAGCTGAGGACTGCACAGAGCTGTCGCTGCCTGAGCAGGGTCAATGCTCTGCGCAGCTGCAGGCCGCTATGTGTTTGCCAGAGGCCCGTGTGCCTGCTGGTCCTGTTCTGTCCCTGCCAGAGGCCCGTGTGCCTGCTGGTCCTGTTGCGTTCCTGCCAGAGGCCCGTGTGCCTGCTGGTCCTGTTGCGTTCCTGCCAGAGGCCCGTGTGCCTGCTGGTTCTGTTCTGTGTGTGCCAGGGGCTCCAGTGCCCACTGGTTCTGAGACTGTTTTTGCTGGGGGGCCCGAGGAGCCCGTCCAGCCTCCTTTCTCTTCAGCTGGGGGGCCCGAGGAGCCCATCCAGCCACCAGCTGCTCCACCAGCAGCCTCATCCACGCTTGCAGCAGCAGTTTCATCCATGCCGCCACCTGCTGCAGCGCCTCCATCTGCATCCTCCACGCCGTTGCCTGGCCCGGCCTCTGCTGCATCCTCAGCGTCGCCTGGTCCAGCGCATGCTTCGGCTTCATCCGCTTCACCTGGTCCAGCCACTGCTACATCCTCGCCTGGTCCAGCCTCCGTGTCTTCATCCTCGCCTGGTCCAGCCTCCGTGTCTTCATCCTCGCCTGGTCCGGCCTCAGCTTCCTCATCGTCCTCATCAGCCTCGCCTGGTCCGGCCTCAGCTTCCTCATCAGCCTCGCCTGGTCCGGCCTCAGCTTCCTCATCATCCTCATCAGCCTCGCCTGGTCCGGCCTCAGCTTCCTCATCATCCTCATCAGCCTCGCCTGGTCCGGCCTCAGCTTCCTCATCATCCTCATCAGCCTCGCCTGGTCCGGCCTCAGCTTCCTCATCATCCTCATCAGCCTCGCCTGGTCCGGCCTCAGCTTCCTCATCATCCTCATCAGCCTCGCCTGGTCCGGCCTCGGCTTCTGCCTCGCCTGGTCCGGCCTCGGCTTCTGCCTCGCCTGGTCCAGCCTCGGCTTCTGCCTCGCCTGGGGCTGCAGGGGCCACGCAGCCTTCAGGTCCCCTACTACCACCTCCACATCTTCGGTCATCTGCCAGGCCGCTTGTTGGGCATCTCCGCCACCGTGGACGCCCTCCTGAACGCCCTCCTGAACGCTGCCACTGCCTTCCGCGTGGCCGGCCTCCGGACTTGTTTCCACGCCGCCGTTGCCGTCCGCACGGTCGGCCCCCAGAACTGTTTCCACGCCGCCGTTGCCGTCCGCACGGTCGGCCCCCAGAACTGTTTCCACGCCACTGCCTACTGCGTGGCCGGCATCCGGACCTGCCCCGTTGCCATTCGCATGGTCGGCCTCCTGAACTTGACCATCTGGGCCTTTTTGGACTCTGTCCCTCCGTCCTGGGCCCCCTCCGCCCGCCCTGGTCGGGTTGTTTTCTGTTTTGTTTTGGTCCGGTTTTTTTGTTTCTGCTGGGCTGTCTGGAGCCAGCCCTTGAGGGGGGGGTACTGTCATGGTCCTGGGTCGGTGACCCAGCGCTTTTAGTTTGTTATCATTTTCTAGATGATGATTGTTTAAGTTCTGTGTTATTTTCGATCTGCCTCTGAGTCTGCGTCTGTATCTGTCTGTCTATGGTGTCTCCCCATCTGTTTGTGAATCTGTCTGTTTAGTTCAATGTCTTGTCTGGTTCCATGTGTCTGAGTTTCCTGTTTTATTGTGAAGGTCCGTGTCGTATGTGAGTGTGACTCAGTTTACGTTTCCCCTGTCCCGTCAGCCCAGATTCCTCCCAGCTGTGTTGCCCTCCTGTCTCTCATCCCCTGATTACTGGTGTGTGTATTTAAGCCCTGTGTGTTCTCCTGCCTGTTGCCGGTTGGTCGTGTGCTCGTGTCGTCCTCCGTGTCAGTCTGTGTAAATCGTGTCAGTCTGTGTATCCGTGTCAGTCTGTGTAACTCCGTGTCAGTCTGTGTAACTCCGTGTCAGTCTGTGTAACTCCGTGTCAGTCTGTTACCCTGTGTTCCACGGTGTCCTGTTCCTCGTCTGCGTCTCTCTGCTATTCATCATCCGTTGTCATATGCTCCCAGGTCTGTTATTTTTAGTTCTCCCAGTTTAGGTGTCTTTAGTTGTTTGTTATGCCCCACTGTTTGTTTGCCACTACACCTCTGTAAATAAAACCACCGGTATCTCATCCACTGCCTGCATCTTGGGTCCTCCTTCTAAATCCACACGGCTCGCCTCGGCAGCCGTGACAGGGTGGGACTGCTGGCAAATCTTGTGCCTTGTAAGCATGTTTTATTACCTTTATGCACCCAGGAACTTATTCAAAACAGCAGTTACTGTAGTAGTGTCCTTGAAAGTGTCCTGAAGGTCTTACTCCTTGCAAGCAAAAGAAATGATTGGTGGTTTAAGACTTTTGCAAAGTGCTGTACTTATCATCTAATAAAATGCAAATTTAGACGAGAACCCGGATGAGCTGTAGAATTTTATTTCACACACATTCTGGAGCTGAAATTGGTTCTCAATGCTGAAAAGACAAAGCTAATGTTGTTTTCAAACATGAAGAGATTTCCTCAAACTGTCCCTTTGGTGTCCACTCTTGAGGGAAACCTCATAGAAGTGGTGCATACGTATAAATATCTTGGCTTTTTAATTGATGATTCTCTGACCTTTAAATCTCACATAGACAATCTTGTGAAAAAACTCAAACTAAAATTGGGATTTTTC